TGTCACATTGAGAGAAATTAGATTGTGAAATAAAGGCAGAAGGTTGAAGAGAAAGATGGATTTAGCATAACTGTCACCATTCAGTACATTACTGCATTTCTCTGTGCTTGTGCAATCTGAAAACTGCAAATACTGTTGTAACTAAGTGTAGGCATTTGTTGACAGACTAATTGTTTTAATCTCTAGTCATTATGCTTAGTAACCGTGCTCATCACATGCAATAAACCTGTCCTTTTCTCTTTTGCTAAACTTCTCTGTCTGAATTTTTACCTTAACTGAAATAGTTTACTTTATAAAATCAAAAAGCTTGTAACTGATGTGATGAGTAGCATTTGGCTTCATTTGCAATGAGAAAGTAAATATTGCTAGTTCTTACCTGCTGATACCAGGGCTCCATTTAAGCAAGACTGAGAGTGGTGTATGTGTGAAAATTGGAGAAAGAGAACGCCTACAGTGCGGAATGCTTCCCTTCTCAATGTTTTCAAAGTATCTTTTTTATATTTTTTTAATATATAACTTACTCTCGGCTTCTGTATGATTTGTCCAAATTAATACTCAAACCTGCACAAAGTCATGTTTCATAAAAACATATTTAGATTGGGGGGGTTGCATTCAAGAAATTTAATATAATAAATGCGCAGTTCCTTACATAGGCTTGTAGTAAAAGCTGCCTTTTTGTGAACCATTGATGACTGGATGTCAGGTTTTTGCCACTCTGAAGACTTTAATCTGAAAAGTGTCCATAAATCAAATCTTGGAAAGCTACATCAATAAAACACTGTCTTCAACTTTAGGTGGTGTTTCAGGAGTAACTAGAGTAATAAGAGGAGAAACTTCAGGTGTTGTCTGTCTTTACTTCTGAATTTTCTCAAGAAATACTCAACTGTAACCTAATTTTTTGTTACTTACTGATACCTGTGTAAGGTTCTTGTACTGTGTGTGAAGGTGCAGTTCTCTTGGGTGAAAAAGGGTTTGTCACTTAGACTTTTAAAATATTAGGTTGTTTCTGTTTTGGCCCATTCAAGTCAATTTTTAAAAGTCTCAGTGTATTGAGTAATCAGCATTGGTTGCAGCTGTAATGCATCTGATAGACATGTTTTCTTAAAAAAGTTTTCAGCAGAAAAGCTTCCTGTCTCAGCTGGACTGAAGTGCAGTTGAGGTTTTTTGCTTGTCACTTTGTATTACAAGTTATGCGCCTCTTGCTATATGTGCATTCTTAATATTTTTTTTTAGTTGTCCATAAACACCACATTTTATATGGACTGTCCCTTTGTTTTAATTGTGCTTCCCCAAGTGTTAGCTGAGCCAGAGGCTTTTTACTGGTAAAAGGGAGAGATTTTCATCTTGTTGGGGCTTATGGAAGTGCATTCATTTATCCTTCAGCATAGTCTGGTTTTGGAAAACAGAAGCCTCTTTTAGAGCATTAATTTCTGCAACAATTCAGTGGCAATAAAGCTGTAAGTGATTTTCTGTGGTAATGTGCTAAGTGAGACTACTGGATTTAATTCTTTTATATGGGCTCCCTGTATATATGAGTTGGGGAATTACAGCTTTTTCAGATAGTCATCACAGATAAGTTAATTTGGCTTAACTGCTGAAGCAAAGTTCATTACTTTTAAATTGGCTTCACAAAGGCAGGTTAGCAAAATGCAGTCTTAGCTGACAGATGCAATTTCTGAAGACACCTCAGGTTTTTTGCTTCTTGTAAGCATTAATATACTTTATACTTGATGAGATGTTCATTGCAAATTTGCATGATTGTGTTTTTGTTCTGTGAAAAGTGTCATCTATGATGAATTATCACAGTGAAAAAATTCTTAGTGAGGCATTGAATTTACTAGTAAAATGTTAATTAAAAGTAATGTTTAGTTTGGTCTGTCCTGAAGAAGCATCTGTTACTGTTGAATGTTTTTGAATGAATATTACTTATACCACAGCTAATCTGACTGATAAGAATAATTTTTCTGATAGCGAAAAAAGAAGCAAAAGCAGTTTTACATTACCAAAAGAGGTGAAAATGGGGTAGTATTCCAGTTTTAGTACAGACCTAATATCTCACCTTAGAGATGTTACCAGTTTAAAGCACGTGGTCATTCAGAGTACAGTTTGGGCACCCAAGTTTTGCTTGTATATCTTCTGCCAGCCCAAAATTGATGGACTTGTTATTTCAGGGCTCCAAATGTCTGTGAGTCTTGTTTTTCTGCTTGCCCAAAGCTAATCTGGCCTTGGCCGGGGTGAGCAATCCTGTTCGCCTGAAGTGTTCCTTCATCTAACTTTGAGCCAGGAGTCTGCTGCACTTTAGTCCAGTTGAGACAGGAAGATATTTTTACTGAAAGCACACAAATAAATACTTGCTCTTAAGTGTGAGACCCAATCCCTGGCTATTGGTGGTTATTGGTATCAGCCACCAAGCCCCACACTGTCCCATCAGTGGGATCAGGGAGAGAATCAGAAGGGTGAAAGTGAGAAAACTCGTGGGTTGAGATAAAGAGAGTTTAACAGAGAAAGCAAAAGCCATGCACAGAAGCAAAGCAAACCAAGGAATTAATTCACCACATCCCATAGACAGGCAGGTGTTCAGCCATGTCTGGGAGAGCAGGGCCCCATCACGTGTCACGGTGACTTTAGTAAGACAAACACCATCACTCCAAACATCTCCTCCTTCCCCCCCCCCTTTATATACCGAGCATGATGTCATATGGTATGGAATATCCCTTCAGTCAGTTTGGGTCACCTGTCCTGGCTGTGTCTTCTCCCTACATCCCATGGACCCCCAACTTCTTTGCCAGTGTGGCAGTACAAAAAGCAGAAAAGGCCTTGGCTCTGTGCAAATGCTATTCAGCAATAACAAAAACATCTCTATATTATCAGCCCTGTGTTCAGCACAAATCCAAAACACAGCCCCATACCAGCCACTGAGAAGAAAACCCCAACCAAAACCACCACAGTTGGTCATTTGGTAAAATGCCCTGATGATAGAATCTTGGAGCCAGTCTTCCCCTTCTCCTTCTTGAGGGCTTTAATAGTATCATAGGTTAGCTGTATTTCACATCCTTTATTTTTCTTTTGATTGAACATTGAACTGAGTACAGTGCCCTGACTTCAGCAGGAGAGGTATGGAGTGTGCAGATTGGTGGTTGGGATAATCTTGCTAATGCAGATGAGTTCCTTTGGTTCAAAGGAGACAATCCAAGTCTCCTTTCTTCTTACCCGGGCAAGTGCTTTAATAAGTTGCCATAGAAGAAGACGCTCTTGTCTCTCTGTCTCTTTGAGAAGAGTAAAGCCTGTTACATTTATCTCAATATAATGCAAATTCATGTTTACATGGAAAGAAGAGTTCTGATGTGGACATTTGAGGTAGCAGATAAAGGCTGTCTGCAACCCAAAACGTTGCATTCAGGTTAGAAAGTTTGGAACTGACAGCTTTTCCATTTCCATTAGCAGCTCTAGTGGTGGTGTGCTGTTTGTGAGCTGAAAGCTGCCTAGGCTAGTCACTTGAGGTTTTAACACTGCTGGTGACGCAGCTAAGCACTCCGTCAGGGTACTCTAAGCTTGAGTCACCTCTCCTGGAGACTGTTTGAAACTTGGGCTGTGTCAAGAACCAGGGGCCTGAGCACTGGCTGTGTTGCTGCTAGTAAAAGCTGTTTGCAAATCAGTTCAAGAGCTTTAGCATGCTCAGACAGTTCTTTTGTAGTTTCAAATACATATAAATGTGTAAATGCAAAGCATTCTTTGGTTATTTTTAGATATTTGTATGGTGGTTCTCAAAGACCTTAATTTCAAACAGTGCTCTCAGAGAGTGCAGACACTGAATCTCTCAGCTCTTTATTCCACAGAAATGTAATTGAAGGTGTTAGGAATGGGAACTATGATTCAAGTGGTATCCTGTATTTGAATAGCAACATCATATCAAGCATGCAAGAGAGCTTAGAGTGTCTGCTGAACTTGGATGACTGTAAAGTATGAAAGATAGGAACTTTTGTCAGGTGAAATTAGGGAACCAACATTTATTTAATTAGTTTCTATAATGGGTGCCCATAACAGTTTAAGGGGGAAAAAGAATAAATGAAAGCAAGTCTGCTGAGTGACATTCTGCAAATAAGGTAATAGTTGAGAGGTTTTAAGTTCTTTCACATTAAAAAAGTATTTTTGTGTTCCTTTTGCAAGCACATGTATCTGTAGCTGTGCAGTGAACCAGGTCAGGGAACTGGTCTGAGGGAAAAAAAGAGCAATAACCTTTCTGATTTTATTCACTGTGTTATTGTACAAGGGCTTGTGCAAGCAGGAGGGAGAAAGCCAGGGCAGGTGCACATACTTGTAGTGGAAATACTGGCTTATGCTGTGTTTTCTTTGCAAGAAGTTGTGGCTGAAGGCAATTGTTGGAGGACTTGCATTAATTAAGATCTTAAGGTGGTTTTTTTAAACTTTGTCTGTTGATCCTGTGACACTAAGAGGTCATAGGTAGATGCAGGTGAAATTACGTGTTTTAGTGTCTATGCAGTAGTTTTAAACTTGTGTAGTTTATCAGTTACTGTCTAACTGTCACCTTTTGGAAAGTATAGAACCATAGGATGTGTAGTAAAATTAGAAGAGAGGCTTTGAAAATCAAGTGTATCTTCATCATGGTTTCTTGCTCTTCTGGATTGTGTATTGATTCCCAGGCATCCATGGACTGAAAGTTAAAATAGATTGCGAATATATTATTGATCTTATGTGTTATATTCATCTTTTTCTTTTTGCAAATAATTATAAAACATGAATGATTTGATTTCTCCATCTGCTTCTATCACATATAATCTCCTTTATTCTGTCTGAAGAGGTGGAACTTTATATTCTGTGTTTTTAATGAAGACAGGAAGTTAAAATAATCCGAACAAATATGTCAAACAGTGGGAGTTGAAAAATTTCATGTCTGGCTATTAAAATTACATAATGCATAACTGGTTTGAATAGGAACAAATACAAGTATATACAACTACATGATTGTTTTTGTCTTTAAGGTGCGTATAGCGGCAAAATTCATAATTCATGCTCCTCCTGGGGAATTCAATGAGGTGTTCAATGGTGAGTATGTGTCTGCTCTGTCCTTTCACTTAAAGCATCTATATCCAAAATCATATTGCTGATCACTCTCCTGAGTTTCATGTAGTTTACATAGTAGTAGCTCCCACACTGTAAGAGCTGGTTTTGTAGCTTGGCATAATAAGCTTTTCAGTCACAAGACAGCTTGAAGTTTAAATGTAAAAGGAAGAAAGTACTACTTTTCTTTGTAAGAACAAGCTTTCTCTCTGTTTTTAATCAGTCATGAATTAACAGGTGCTGGGGTTTTCATTTAGAAACCACATGTACTCTTTTCAGTCTTTGATAAACAACTGTATTTTTCAACAGAAATTAAACTAGCTGAAATTAAAATGGTCTTTTTTCTGTTTTAAGAAGGAATAGCATTACAAATACTTAACCTTGAATATACAGAGGACTACTGCCTAATGCCGCTTGTGGAAAGAATATTAATCTTCTCCAAACATTTCTGACCCTTAAGTTCTGGGTACACTTCATTTTATTGAATGTATTGGTAAACTGAAAGGAAATTTAAAATTACCTTGTCTCAACTCTTGTTGCCTGAACTTTACCTAAGATGTTACTTTTCTTTAAGAATTGTTGTGTTTGTCTGGCATCAAGATATGTGGGCATAGATACTGTATAAAAAGGCATGTGTTTTATAGCTGTGGTTTACAAATGTCTCTGAAGCTATTTAAATAAAGAAGTAAATTAGGTATACTAAACCTGTAGTTCAATGTCAGACAGGAGAGAGCTTAAATTTGTTAAAGAATGCAATTCTTTTACAAGTCTTGTTTTTGAGTTGAACTGCGACCAGCTGATTATTATTTAAACTTAACTAGTACTGCATTTGTAAAGTGAGCAGTTGGTGAGCAGCTTAACTCAGCTCCCTGAAGGTTATTAAAATTTCTTACAGTAGTACTGCTGTAAACTTTATTGTTAAGCTAGTTCATAGTTGCAACAACCTGCTCAAAAATAATGTTTGAAAATACATAGCAAACATTTGATCCTAAATGTGTGTCTAGTGTTCAATGAGATTCAGGCTGCGTTCTTAAAAAGAGAAAGAAAACTTTCAGTTCCAATTCTGTAAATTGTGATTTTTGTTTGGTTTAGAGGGGTGGGGATAGTTGAGGAGTGTTTTGGTTTAGGTGGGTTTCTTTTCTTTTTGGTTCATTTGAGGAGGGTTTTTTTGTTTGTGTGTTTTTAAAGAAAAAATACTTCAAATACAGTCCGGGGTGGTTTTTTTCACTTGAATGACCTTGGGAATATTTAGAAGAGTTTAATATGGTATGGAGAGACTAATGATTGGTTAGTTTATGAGCAGTGCATTAAATTATTATAAAAACAGTACCTAGTAAATAATAAGGAAGTAAGTCAAGTACATAAATAACAAATTTGCTCCATAGTAAATATGAAGTTATTTTGAGGAGAGTATTTACTTTATTCTATATTCATATGTTTCTTGTATGATGGTAGAAGAAATGCTGTTGTCATATATTGTCCTCTGACTAGTAGAGTGTCATTATGGAACAAGACCAAAATTGGTAAGGCTTAAAAAACAGTAAGTGCAACACATACCGTGTAAGTGTCATCAGAATACAGTAACAACAATATAGTGTGAGGGATTTGGTATTATACATCTTTAAAGTGAACTTGTTAGAATTCTGTGCTGTTCTCATTCAGAACTTCTCTAAAAACTAGTTTGACAGATTCCTAGAGCTGTCACACAGCCTGTCGAATATGGCTTATATCTACTTACCAGATTGTGTTGGAAGAGATCCATTTCTATACCATTCTTTTCATTTTGTTCAGTCAAAATTATGAAATATGAAGCAATAAACTGCCTACCTAGTAATCTCAGTAGGTATGGAGTGGTTGGGTTTTTTGCTTTGTACAGTCTGTTGACATTTGTTATGTGACTGAAACAAGTTTCTGAGTTAACTGTACTTTTATGTTGTAAATATCTCCTTTCAGATGTTCGGTTGCTGCTTAATAATGATAATCTTCTCAGGGAAGGAGCAGCGCAGTAAGTACCAGATGCCACATACTCAGTTGAATAAAAGCAAGATGTTTTTTCAGTTAGACTTTCATAATCAGTAAGTGGTTTGTTTAAAAGATGTGTGCTTGGCAAGTAAAACTCTATTGTGTGTGTTGGGCATCTTTGATCAAGATTAGATTTTTGGCAGAGGAGAGATCTGTGTTGTATCCTAATGATTAGAGCAGCTGTTTTGGAAATGGATGACCTGGATTTTGGAATTAGTCCTCACCTTTTTGGATTTTGTTTTCTGTTTCTTAGTAGAAGTTACTAAACATCTTAGACCCTACTTTTATGTCATAACATTATGCCTACTGTGTTTTATGCCAAAATTAATTTCATCTGTAAGAACAGAGATGTCTGGCTTAGTAAGTTGGATCCCAGTTGAATTTAAACTTTATCTCATCCTCCAGTTTTTATGGGTTACTGTAAAGCTTATGTGTTTGTCTACATCAGGTTAGTTTTGAACTTATATCTTTGTGAAATGGTGTTTAGAATCTGTAATATGAGCACTGAGTGAACCAAGATGATTCCAAGAATCTGGGGCTGCTAGATAATAAAGAATTTATATTTTTTTTATGCATCATAGCTCAGATTATTAGCTATTACTTAAATATCTTACAGCTACTAAAGAAAAAGATTGTACTTGATGCAGCCTTTTGTTGTTGTTTTTTTCTCTTGTAGTGCATTTGCACAGTACAACTTGGACCAGTTTACTCCAGTAAAAATTGACGGTTATGATGAACAGGTACGAATACAACTTACAAATGCAACTAAATAATTGCAATCTTCCTAAAACTCTTAAAGATGTTCTGGAACATTTGGAACATTTCTTGGCAAGAAAATTAGAAATGTTTAGACTTCCCCACCAAAACATAGAGATTGTGCCCCTCCAGTAGTACCAGTTCCATGAGTTAATCACATAGGGGCGACTAAAAAGGTTGAAATTTCAGTCTCCGATGTTGGCTGAATTCAGTCAGATGTGTTTTGGAGCTGTAAAAACTATTTGCTTCATCTTCAGTACTAGAAGACATGAATTTATATCTTGCATTGTTTGTTGCAGTAAGAGGGTAGGATTCAAATTTGTTTTCTCAGGCAATGTATCACATTGCCTTATCTCTTGCTATATGCATGTTTTGTATGCATAATAAAGTGTGAATCTGGATGTGAGTAGGCTTCAGTTAAATGTTGGATATAATCAGATTGGGCATGGCATTTCTTTCCCTCTTTATTAAATAGCAAATGTTAATGACTAATTTTTTAATAAAATAAATTTTATATAATATAGATATATATATATAAATGTAAATGTAAAATTTTAACTAAAAGTTTATTAACACAGGTTTTGATAACAGAACATGGTGATTTGGGAAATGGAAAATTTTTGGATCCCAAGAACAAGATTTCTTTTAAATTTGATCACTTAAGAAAGGAGGCTACTGATCCTAGACCCCACGAAGTTGAAAATGCCATAGAATCGTGGAGAAATTCAGTTGAAACAGCAATGAAAGCATATGTGAAGGAACACTATCCAAATGGTGTTTGCACAGTAAGTGCTAAATTACATAACCACTGTACCACTATAGATAGAAATAAATTTTTTAAAAGTAGCTATTTGTAAACCGGGAAGATAGCATTTTTGACTGTAAAGAACTTAGTCCTGTCAGGAATTCATACAGGGAAATAAGGGAAGGCTTCAGAAGTTTAATATTTCAGCTATTGGATTATTAGTGGGTGGTTAGTAGTTACTACTGGTTATTAGTAGGTCATAGTGAAGACTTACCTCTCAGTTTTGAAGCATTTTTATTTAAAATGAAGCATATTTTATTTAAATGCAGGTTGATCCCACTGATCCTGGCTACCTGGCTGGTTGCTTGGAGTGGGGGGTGGTGGGGGAGGAAGGGGTTGGCAGGAGGGAGAGGAAATCCATGATACAAATGTCTGCCTTAACTTAGTTTACTGAAAACTGTCTTAGTAGAGCAAACTGTTTTCTCTCCATCATATCTCCTATATGTCCAAGTGCTGTATTCTTACCACCAGAACTGGAGATTCTTACGGCTTCTTAAAGTAAAACCTCTCAGTCTGGACTAAAATGGCATTCATTTGCCCTTACAAGCCCTATGACTATTTAAACCTCAGCAAACTGATCTACTGATAGCTGTCCTGTGCTTTATGTTGATGTGACAGAAAAATTAACTAGGGAAAAAAATCAGTTGCTGAATTGACAAAGTTGGATTGGATTCCCAGGCAGTCAGATGAGTTCCAGCTCCCAGTAAAGGAAACCAGATTGGGTGTTCATTGCGATAATATTTGGTAGTATTTGATTTTGGGGGATAAAGCAGAACAGAGGACCAAACTCGCCTGTTTAGTCACCTTTTTGCTATTCTGTACAGGCTTAAATCATCATTTAAGTGTAGAATAACTGATGTTTGAAACCCAGCTGGTAATATATATATAGCCTCTGTAGTAACTGCTATAGGCTTAAAATGCCTATAGTTGCAGACAAATGAGTTCACATAAAATTCAGTTAAGATGTTTGACCTTCAGGTTTTCTAATCTTAGATTTTTCTGCTTTGTAATAAACACTTTAATGTTTCATGTATGAAATATTATGTAAGAACCGTAATGGTTATAAAATGAAATTTTACAGTTTAACAGTAGTAGAACCAGATAGCTCTAAGCAGTTTGAGCAAGATATACTGAAACCTGGACTCTGTTCTTTTTTTTACTTTTTTTACTCTTCTTGTTTTTTCTTAATTCAGGTGTATGGTAAAACAATTGATGGACAGCAAACCATTATTGCATGCATAGAGAGCCATCAGTTCCAAGCAAAAAATTTTTGGTAAGTTTCTGTATGGATACACAGAGAGTAAAATACAGCAAACTGATTAAGTGCCACATCACTGATAATCCTTAGTTCAGAGAAGAAGATGAGTATACATCTTGTACGTGACTTTTTTCTCCCTCCACCCCACTCCACGTTTTTCTGCCAAAACTGTAGAAATCTCTTCCTTTGTGGTAAGTAAAATGTCAGACTGTATGCCTGCATCTCCTTTGCAGAACTTTATAAAATTCCATATGACACAGTTTATCACACTGGCACCAATACCATGGCTGTATTCCCTAAGGCAGTTGCTTTTGTGTGTGTTGCTTCCTTTGTGATTGACAGAATAAAACCAGCTCCTCCTGTTTTGAATGTCTTAGAGAAGTGACCAGAAATTATTTACAGTAGGATTTGAGTGATTAATTTTTGTGACAGGTAGATAAAGATAATTTTGGATGAAATGAACTCTTACAAACTGCACATTTCTGTTTTTTCTGGACTTGATTGATAGATGTTTTCCACAGCCTGGAGTGAACTTTGGATAGCACCTTACAGGAAACTGGCCAGAGTTTAGATAAATATCACAGTATCAGGAATGGGTTAAGGAGGTTATACCCTAAAGATAACTAATATATGCAGCTGTCTGAAGAAATGTATTTATTATTTTATTTGCTATTTTCCATCTTCTTGAAATTTATATTTAGTAATCCCATGGGTAATGACTGGAATGCAAAAATCTTTGTTTTCTAATGCTGAAGGTGGATATTACATATGCATAGTAATTTCACCATGTGTATATATCAGTTAAATTATTTGCCCAGTACAGCGATTTTTATTGAATTGGTACAGCTAATAAGTTATTTTTCCTATTGACTTAAAACATGCAGACTTAACTAGTCAAGTTTACATCAATACAAAAAGTAACTTGAAATAATAATACTGATTTTCTTTTTAATTTGGAAGTGTGAATGAATTTTGGTATTCCAAATAGTTACTTTAATATTATAGTCTTTAAAGAAGAGAGATAGATATGTAGCAACGTTGTATAAATGGAGAAAATGTTTCTTGGAAGTTTTCTTTATTAAAGTTATGGGTAAATATTTTACCATGTTTCTAAGAGTTTTTCAGGGGGGTAGTCAGACTCTAATTCTCATTCTTAGCGAGTTGTAATAATGCATATTGGTTTGGGGGATATGGGGATGGAGAAATGGATTCAAAGTTAACCAGGTTCCTCAGTGATGCAGCTGTATGTCTGGATATCCAGCCCAAGCTACAGGCAGTATTTATCCTCAAGGTGTCCCAACTTAGGCATTTGGAAGGCTGTTGACCCACCATGAGAGCAAGTTTGTTGGATGATAGAAAACCAATACATACCAAAGAAAAATACTCTATGATTATCTGAAATACTATCAATGTAGTAGGATAGATGGTTTATTAAAGAGTGTGGAAGAAAAGGAAGGATAGTTAATCTCTTGCAAAACATCTGAAGTCAGTAGAGCTAAATAAAGTAATAACTTTGTTTTTACCTCAGAGCATTTCCTACAGAAAGGTCCTTCTGAACTTTAACTCCTTTTTTTTTTTTTTTTTTTTGAAAGCATCTTAAGGGCAAAAAAGATATCCCAGACTGTAAACACTGTGGTCTTCTTAACTTCAAGGGACCACAAAGTGGCTGAGAAGCAAACAAATCTGTTAGCCAACTATTGAATCCCAGGCATCTAAAAACTATACCTGAAGTGTAGTTCAGCACATAAGCTTTCTCATAACCAATGGGTTAGTCTATAAGGCTACAGTAGTATTAGTGTCACTGAGTTGGGCAACCTTTCAGTGTTTTTTCAGTGATGCCAACAAGCTTCTGAATTGCCTTAATCTGAATTTTCAGTGATAATTTGGAATTTGTCTGAAAAAATAACCAAATGCTTTATATTTAAGTTATTGTTGTTTGTATCTAAGATGTGTCATTATATAGATTCATTAGGAGCTGTTAATTTTAGTATTTTATCTCTTTCTCTCCCAATGTTGAATGCACTGGAACTTACACCTAACATTAGCAGGACTGGAACTCCTAGTATTAACTTTCTTTCCTTCTTTAAGTGCAAACACAGGAGGAATCAAGGAGAGCTGCCATGCATTCTTAACACAGCTTCAGTGTACTAACCTTCTAATCCACTAATCTCATAACTGAATAAAAAAATGTCTAGTCTACAGGAAAGACATCAGGTGAAACTGCACTCTCCTCATGCTGTTTTCCAGATGTTTGAAACTCCCTTTAAGCATTTTGACAAGGATGCTGAATTTGTGGAAGAGAACTGGAAGGAAATAGTTGTCCTGGAAGGGAAATACTAGAAGAGCTGAAAGGCCTAGTTACAGCTCAGCATAGCAGAAAGTCTTGCTACTTGAATGTTCCTTCCATTCAAGTTTTTGATAGCCTGAGGTGAAGCATGACTTTGACTGATCCAGCAAGTCATCCAGGTCCTGGAAACAAAATATTGACTGTAAATGCCTAATTAATGCTGAAAGACAGAAAGAACACTGGAGGCTTTAGGCATTTTCAGAAGTTAAGTCCTATTCTTAAAATATCCTAACTAATAAATCTCTTTGGTCCACATTGAAAACTGAGGTTAAATATTTTGAAAAACTATTCTGTTCTTCACTGATAGAGGCTAAGTCTTTAGGGGAAGATTTTGTGCATGTGTAGTTGCACTGCAAATTTAATTCTCTGGTTTCCTTTGACTCTTAGTTGTATGTTGGGATTTTTTTCTTAACCAGTGGGGTGACATCCAATTTCTGTTTTATTGTTTTTTAAAGGAATGGCCGTTGGAGGTCAGAATGGAAGTTTACAATCACCCCTTCAACCACTCAAGTGGCTGGCATCTTGAAAATTCAGGTATGCTTATCTCAAACTGTGTCCTGGTCAGTAAAGTCTCCAGTTATTACCAAGGGAGACTCAGGCCAGTGTATTAAATATGTTAAGAGAATTTGGGTTCCCCGTAAGCAAAGCAGCAATTCAGTTATGTGTGAGTGACTTAATTGCATATTTACCTAATCCTTACAAACACAAAATATGTGTTTAATGTAATGATTCAGAAGACTTCAGAAGGTGTATTCACCTCAGCTAGGCATATACCTCTTTGGTTTCCTATTTCTTGAATTCACAGTGGGACAAGTCTTTCCTGAGGGTAGGCCCTCTCTAAAGTAGAACGGTTTTTTTTCATTTTAACTAATAATAGGGTTTTTTTCATGTTATCCTATTGTTCAGAACCTGTGGTTTCAGCAGTTGCACTATCAAAATTTTTTAATCTGGGTCTTCTTCATTCAGAATTTGCTCTTCCTGTTGGCTTTAGGGCATTCAGAAGGAGGAATTCGAAGCAGGCAGAAGTCTTGACACCAAAGGAAGTCTGACTGTCATGTGGTAGGCAGGGAGACTTCACTTCCTGGATTAGTTCTCTGGTATATGTATTCATACTTTGCAAGAGTTTATTAAAACAGTTCTGGGATCAAGGACTAGAATATTAGTGCAGTTTGACTATCAACGTAGTACTTTATTATGTTTTTTATGAGATATAGATCCAAGTTCCCTTCTCCTGCTTTTTTTGTGCCCCCATGAGATTTGCTCATCCTTACTGATCAGTGATGATTTCAGAAGGAAGATGCAAAGGGATGTTTTTCTAGCCATAGCCTGAGGCTAGGATGATGTTTTAGGATGTGGTAGCTGTGTTCAGATCCACCCAAGCAAGGGAACCTGAATCTAATTTCCCATTCTGAGGCAAATTCCATAACATTTGTAATGACAGTCAAAATCTGGGCACCCATTATTAGGTTGTCGGATCACAACAGTCATAGTATCCAGCACCTTAAGTAACTTCTAGGCTTCTCAAGACTTTGTCACTTAAATTCAGCTTGCAGCAAAACAGGCATTTTCTGCACAGCACACACTTTTGATTAAATGTCTTCAGAGGTTTTCCAGAACAAGGAGGCAGGTGTCTACCTAATTCTATAAAAGATTAGCCCAGTAGCCTAGAAAATAGTTTAACCAAGAAACTTAAGTTCTAATCAGCTTTTCAATTTGGGCACCAGCTGATTTTGTCTTTTGTTACTATTTCACATAATAAATCAAGTAATTATTTACATTCGTTAAAGTCTGTGTTCTGGAGAGCAATGAGGCGTTCTACTTTTATTGCTTGTATAGGAAATAGTTGTTTCACCAAGAAATTTTGAACTCACTTTCAAATTTTTGCAAATTGTGTACAATTTCTTCAATGTATGTGGAAGTGCTCCCCTTTCATCTCTCAAAACAAACAAGTAAAAAAAGGTGCTTTAATTTTTTTTTAAGGAGCAAAATAATCTTCTAGAATATCAACTCCCTAAAACATGAGTGAAATTTGTGTAATTTCAGTGTTGTTTGCAAAATCTTTGACAGCAATATGCCATTGCCTTGTTTCTGATAAGGCCTTTTATGAATAAGTTGGGGGAAATTGCAGCATCACGGGTGTCTTCAGCATTTCTAAGATCACTTGCACAATTTCTTCTTTTTTTTATTTCTCTTAATAAATTCTAATACAGGAAATTATCAACTGTGAATCTCTTCCATTGTTTAATTTTCTTTTTGTTCTGTATGTAAGGGGAAAGGTAACAGCAGAACTTTTTACTAAAACTAAGTCCTTCTGGTGCTTAACGTGTTCGAACTGTGCATGGAAAACTAAGTGTACTGGTTACTAATTTTACCTCTTAGATAATTTGTTATTCACATCCCTCCTAACTTAACCTTTCCAAGAGGTTCTGTTCTTAAACATCCTCTTTCTTGTAGTCTTCTGAACCCAGACCTAGCATTCTAGAAAGATGTCAGTAGGGAGGTGTAGTACAGAACACTTATGTCTCATATTTAGTTTAAGATATAACACATCCCAGAATAAGATCCCTCTTCATCCCTCTTAAGATTTTAGGCCTGTTTGCTAAGAATGTGATTCAGTGACAGATAGGATGTTTGTGCTGGGGTTGGCCTGAGAGCACAGAGGAGGTTTGGGGCCCCTGCAGTGGATTGTCATGGACAAGAGGGCAGATTTATATTTCTTTGGGTTTTGCCATTTAATTGGGATTTCTTAAAATTTTGCACTGATTAAGCACTTCTCATCTTTTAGGAATTGGATTGAAAAAGGTTGGCAGAAGTTTCACCCAGCAATGTTTGATTTGAAAAGAAACTTATTTTGTGGTTAGGTTGATACCTTTTGTTGCAAAACAAGTATTTGACGATAAGCAAAATAATCATGTAAGATGAATCATAGGAAATAATTTTTTCTCATATAGGAAACCTTTCTTTTGCAATGGTATTACAGCTCTCTTACTACGTGTCATGTTTTTTCCATTGTTATTTATAAAGCTGAGAGTCTTTTGCACATATCATCACAATGCATATGAAATTACACTATTGTGCATTAATCTCAAAATTAAAATGTTATCTTGTCTAATAGGGTGAGACACAAATGTTTCATTTTCTCATAATGTCAGCTATATTAACTACCTTTCTCAAAATTGTAAGAAAATCTTTAAAGATACTTGTTTAAATGTCGGTGACCTGCATAACTCTTCTATATCAATTATTGTGAATGATTGCATGTAATTTTATATATCCTTTCTAGTTTTTAAGTTTTCCAACAGTTGCATTAGGAACTAAATGTTTTCAAATCCTTCCCAACTGAATTTAAAAGTACTAAAGTTAGCTTCGGGTAGAGTTTTACTGATCTCCTGCAAAATAATCAAGGAAGCTGTTCTGTAGATACGTTTCAAGAGTAAATAGATATTATCCTGTTTTGCAATCTAACCTTAGCAAACTTTGTTCCAAAGAACTCCCTTGTCTAGGTAAATACCAGCTTTTGTTATGAGCCATATCTAATAGAGGAAAATATCAAACCCAGGCAGATCTAGAAAGGGAAGCCTAATGTCGCACTGTCCCTAGGAAACAGTTTGGGGGAAGCAGAACAACTTCACAGTGTCCTGAAACCTTGCCAAAACTATTCTAATTTTAAATATATCTTCACCATTTACAGTAGTCAGTTCATTTCAGGCATTTCTAGTAAGGTCACGTAAATTGTATGTTGTCATCTTCATGATGTTAATCAAAACCTAAACTTCTTTGTATGAAATACTGCATAAGGCACATCAACAAAAAATGTTTCCAGAATATCCTCTTTAGTAATCCCCCTCAAAAATAGTAAATTCTACAATATTTTGGTTTTCCTATTTGCTTTTGTTCTGTAACATTTTATATGCCGTTTGGTTGATTTGTATACATTTGTTACTATGATAAATAACACAATACTTTGATTTTCCTGTATGTTGTTGATCTGTAACATTAAACACGAGTTTTTTTGTTTAATTGTCTGTAGGTTCACTATTATGAAGATGGTAATGTTCAGCTGGTGAGCCATAAAGACATACAAGATTCTCTAACAGTGTCTGTAAGTGAACTTTAAGGACCTTAAAGGGTATATTGAATAATTTAAAAATAAAAGCAATCTTTAAAAAAGCTCAGAAGTTTGCAGGCAAGTTTGTTCTTCTGCATGCATGGGAATTAATGTTTTAATTTACAAATATTCTGCATGTGATATTTACTACTTTTACCTAATATGTAGTTAGTGTTTAAAAAAAGTAAAAAAAGATAAAATTAATGTATGCTTGCATGTGGCTTGTATAAGTTAAAATAACTTTGATATTAAAGCTTTAACTAGCTTCCTGTCAGTCTTTCTGCACTTCTGTTGTATTTAAACTTCTGTCTGCTGAGTGACCTATAGAATTAATTTTGGAATATGAGGGAGGTTTGAGTTATAATAACTGACTTTAGTAGGAGATTGCCTCCTTTGCTTGCTAGGAGAAGACCACTATGCTAAAAGTAGTAAACAAATGCTACCAGTTCAGAAGTAGTGGTAGGTATTCTTTTCATTTTCTCCCTGTCTGTAGCTGGTGCTGTCAGCCTCTTGCTTTTCTGTACAAAAAGCCCTTTCACAGATGCTTCAGCTTGAGAAGCATAACACACTTTAAAGCATCATCTTTTTCAACTTCTTTCCAAATGGATCATTATAGTAATGAGGAGCAAACAGTAGAAATAGAAGTTGCTTGGAAATAGTGCCAGATATATTTTTTAAGGGCTGATAATGTTGCAGCATGAACAACTACTGCTTTTGAAATAATGTGTTTATAATTGTGTTTATAAACAGTAAAATTTTCTGTTGGAGTGTTTTTTAATAAAACTTAAGCCAGTGAGGTTAAACTGGCAAAGAGAAGTTGTAAAAGTGAACAGTAGAAGTATTTTAATGATAACGACTAGCAGTAACCGATTTGGCTCAAAAGCTCAATTCATCCATAAAGAACATTGTTTATTAATACAAAGTGAGGCTTGTTGGCTTTTCAGTTGCAATAGCACCATAAAGAATGGGGGATTGTGGTGCCAACTGATAACACTTCTGGAGCAGTAGATATAAAATTACTTTTGACTCCCTGAGCAAAGGGATCTATTTAGTCTTTCATTCATATAAGAGTTATTTCAGGGAAGATTATGTGAATGCAGTTCTCCTTTCAATAGCTTTTGCTTCACTTTCTGTTGGGAAGAAATTTAATTCTGTTTTGCAGTTCAGTAAAGAGCAGAAGACCGATGAGCAGGAAAACATCTTTTACATAACTTTGCTAGAACAAAAGCAAGTATGCTGCTGGTTACGAATTTTTAACCTTGGCTTTGAGCTTTATAGAGGGCAGAGGCTGTACAAGTTCCTATTTAACACAGAAGAAATGGTAGGTAGATTGACCTACCAGGTAGGTAGGAGTCTCAATGGCTTCTCTTTTTTGTTGTTGCAGAGAAGCCATTTTATACCATCAACAGGCACAACTGAAATAAATGAGGTGTAAATAATTTTGCTGAAGGTTATTTTCTTATCCCTTATTTTTCTCTGAGACAAATAAGACCTCATATCTCTGATTTTTTCCTTTCATCAGCAGAGCCTTTGAAAGCATTGCCCCAGTTCACTGAAAAGTCAAAACCCTTTCCTTTGTTCTTCTTGGTCTTTGCTGCTTCCTTTGTCTCTCTTGCAGTGTCCAGGACCACTTTAACAGCTGCTAGGTGCAGTTTCACTGAAACTTTAAAGCAGTTGAAGTTGTCAGTTTTCTCCCAGTCTTTGCCTTTGTAGGAATGAGGGATCACATGGGACAAGAACACTTCTACCTTTAACAGCTTCTGCAAAAGCACCTTTAGGAATGTCTCCAATGCTAAGTTGGAAGCTTGGAAATTCATGAACTATCACTTCCTTCTTGAGACTTCTTTTGAGAACTTCAGCTAATTTTCCTCCAGATTGACTGGTGGAAAATGTTTTATTTTTAAAACAAACATACACTTGCATCCTTAAACAGTTTCTTGGCTTCCAGCCTCATCCTTTTCAGTCTCCATGAAATTTGAGCATAGTGTTTGCACCCTGATTTTTACAAGGTGTATTTGGGGATGTTTCTAGAAGACCAGGTATATAAAGTCTAGTGTTTTCCTCAGCTTAGTCTCCAGATTCAGAATCACAGAATCTGTTGAGTTGGAAGGGACCCAAATGAATCATCGAGTCCAGCCTTAGCCCTGTATGGGACCATCCCGAAGAGTCACACCATGTGCCTGAGAGCGTTGTCCAAACATCTCTTGAACTCTGTCAGGCTTGGTGCTGTGACCACTTCCCTGGGGAGCCTGTTCCAGTGCCCAACCACCCTCTGGGTGAAGAACCTTTTTCTGATATCCAACCTAAACCTCCCCTGATGCAACTTCAGGCCATTCCATCGGGTCCTGTCACTGGTTGTCCCTCCTCTTCCCCTCATGAGGAAGTTGTAACTGCAATGAATGTTTAGAGGTGAACATATCTGTTTTGGTTTTATGGTTGTCTTCTGCTATAACTTCTGGTTTAGCTGGTACTTCTTGGATTTGTACTGGAAATGTAGCATTGATAATGTTGTTATCAATACTTGGCATGTTTTTAGAGACCTGTGTGTGCATTGTCATATTTCCAAATGCTGTTCTGTTCCGTATGTCTTTTTATCATACCACAGAATTTTTAATCAAAATATTTTAATAAGCTCCATGGTAATCTTTATGCTTGTTGCAGTTTGGCTGAATATGCCTTTTGGATTAATGTTTTGTTCAGTTTTGGTTTAGCCACTGAATATGGTCAAATGTTCTCATCAAGTCTACCTGATATTATTCATAACTATAGGAAAAACATAATCTAACTAGTCCTAGAATTATGCTGTATATCAGACTAATTCAAATGCTTTTTTCCTAGAATGAAGCCCAGACAGCGAAGGAATTTATAAAAATCGTAGAGGCTGCAGAAAATGAATATCAGGTATGTTGGAAACAAATGCTGTATCCTTACTCATAGTTATAGCATTACCATATACTTAGCCAAAGCTAGTATTCTGTAACTGGCAAGCTTTTGATATTAAGATAATGCAGTTCCATATAAATAGATAACATGCTGCTGTTAACTCTGTCTTGCCTTTCCATACCTTTTAGGGATTGTGCTCACCTACTTAACATTACAGTAGAAGTAATTTTTTGAGAGCAGAAAAGCTATTAGCAGGATCAAATATCAGCAATTCTGATCTGTTTAAGCATTAGTGCATTCCCTAAGTGGAATTTTTGTACAGATTCTGTTCAGAGGCTACCCTGTTGGACAATATTGCTAAATATGATTAGGCATTACCCATTTCAATTATTCATTTCAAAGTTAGAAAAGTGTAACTGTTCTGCAGAAGTGGATAGACGTTCATTCAGGTCTTGAGCATAAGGTAAATTTAGACACCATGTTCTGTCAGCTTGAAAAAAAATGCTCTTTAATAAAGAATTTTTCAATAGGTATAGTATGCATTAAATTCAAGTTCATACAATGTTGTGGACCGGCTTTACCACCCTCCTAGGAAAAACAGTTGGGAGACTTTGGTGTCTGGAATTACTGATGTATGCGCTAACTCTGATCAGCACTTTATTCGTGCTGGTGATTAACCACACTGGTTTGCTGAAACACCTTGGCTATGGCCAGGTTTATTACATGTCTCACTAATTTTCTTCACATAGTTTCAATCTATATCTAACAGCTTTCCTTCATAAAATATTATTTTAATTTAGCATGTTTTTATTAAGCCTGTTTAAGAGGTAGCAGGCTTCTCAATCATTTAATGTTTATATAGCGTCGTAGTTCTGTTTTTCATGTGTCTTTGTTTTGTATGACTTTGTGTTTAACAGACTGCTATCAGTGAGAATTATCAGACTATGTCCGACACTACTTTCAAGGCCTTACGTCGACAGTTGCCAGTTACCCGCACCAAGATTGACTGGAACAAGATCCTTAGCTATAAGATTGGAAAAGAGATGCAGAATGCTTAGTGAACATTGCATGACTGGATCGTTTTAGTGTCCTTGTATACAAATAAAAATTATTACAAAAAGTATTTGGAACTGTCAGATCACCCAGTCAGCATGGGCTTTTGCCATTGAAAATCACTGTAAGTAGTTTGGTTAGAGCATAAAGCTTAGCTAATTGACTTTTTTCCTTTTTCCTTCCTTTCAGAGGGTTGCAACTTCAGTATAGCTGAGTATCTTCCTTTAGAGTCTCTGTTGTACCTTTATTTTTTTATAACGAAGAGACCATGCCTTTAGTTTTCAATTACACGTTAAGAACAGTTTGGAAAAATATTTTTGCATATGATAACCCTTTCTCTTGCTTTCATGTGAAATGGACAACTTCCAAATTTGCTGGGTTCCTTGTGGAGATCAGTAACGTGCATTTCTAGGTCAAGGTCAACATGGAGTTCGCCATAGGTGCTGTTGTAGAAATCGTCTGTCCTTTCATTTTATGTAAAATTGGGAAAAGCATTTTCTGTATCATTTAAACCTGTCAGAAGACTTACCTAGCTAGCTCCATGGTAGCTAATTATTTTTTTTAAAGAAAAGGCCAAGGTCTAATGCTGTTTTAAGATTTTGAAATGAAATAAAAGTACTTACTCCAGAAATGCATTTAATGCTTTGTTCTGACAATTACTTAAATGAGCTCAAACTCCATCTGCCCTCGAGCTTTTTTATCATAAAGCTACAAATGTATTATAACAAGGCATATTGTAATATATATAATCCTGTACTCATTACTATGTCTGTTTATTTTTTCTTGGATTGAAATGTACTAAAATTCAATGTGACATTAAAACGCAAATTTTCTATTTATTTGAGTATCAGATTCCTTCCTGATATAGCCTGGTTTTGGTGTTTCTAAACATTTTTAAAATTCTGCTTAAAACAGCCACAAACTTGTGTATTTGGAGATTGTAATATTATCAGTTGTTTCCATCTGCATTTAAGAAACATCTACGCATGGAAGTCTACTTAAAACAGGTATCTTTTAGCTTCAGATTGGCTACAGAGGATGGAAGAAATTACAAGACCAAAAATTAATACATGTGTCTGGAGAATACCTTCCTTGATGTATCTCATATTGAAAATGGATGTCAGGTATCTAAAAACACAGACTCCATTACAAATGCTGTATAGCACTTCTATGAAATGCATAACTTTCATTTTTAATTGGATAAAAAATTGTTCTACAATATGCTACATACTTATATGCTCATGATGGAAAATTAAAAAGCTTTTTTATTTTTGAGAAGGCAAGTATTCATGCTCACTCCTAAACAGTAAAGCTAACGCAAAGGTTTTATGTCTTTGTTTATAGCATGATTTAATTAACTACCTTTCACTCAAGTTACAGCATAGCAAGAGAAAGAGTCTAGACTTGGTACTGAGTATAAAAAAGTACACACGCAGTAGTTTGCTGTTTGAATTGTAGTAGCAATACTCCAATATTCTGTTCTTCAGTGCTCTCTTATGCAGGGGTATAGAAGTTCTTGAAACCACTGCTACTTTACAGTACTAAACTGTATAGTAGAAGAATGGGATTTGTTCTACCACAGTCTTCCTGGAGAGTTGCTCTCTCAATTGTCTTTGTATATAAGCTACTGAACTGTGATGTTCTTTTAAAATCAGCTTATAAACATTGTATGTGAGCCAATAACAAATGCTGAGTCATTATCAAGTCAGTCTGTCAGTCTTAACTAAGATCTAAATACAAACCTTCTTCAAAGAATTTCTTCCAACTTATTTGAGAACAAGCTAAACAGCAGTGAATGGACAATTGGGAGAACTGTTAATGGGCAACAATGGTGCAAATAACTTTTCTAGCTGTTTAGAATGTTGTGTATGACCAGAATCAGCACTGGCTAAAAGTCAGAATGCTATTTTTCTTACCTGAAATAAAAAGCTACTTTTAAATATATTCCTAATAAAGAGGTATTTTACTGTGAAGTACTCTATTACTGTATTTCCCTGTTTATTCAGTCATGTGATAGTCTTAATTCCTTATCTTGAAAGAATAGCATCCTTCAGGTTCAATTCTACCAGTTGGATGACAAAGTAGATTTGTATTACTTATATTTTTTCTTGTTGTGGTAATTCTTAGTCTGTGAGTTAACTTTACAGCTGGAGCATCAAATTTATTAAGTTATAGCTTCAATAAAGCCATGTCTAAGTAAATAAACTATTCTCTTTTTCAAAATGGTGTTGTATCATATTTAGGGCATAACGACTCTGCAGATGAAGCTGACCTGACTCTCAGCTGAGGCACATGGCATATTCGGAATGCTTGATTTCTATCAAGATTTTGGATGTCACTTGCACTTTTTTTTGTTTCTATCCCTACCCCTTTTAAATTGGAGAACTTTAGAGCTTGCTTGTTAGTCTTTAGGGTATTTTGTATAGGTAAAGCACTTTCTCTGAGAAATTTTGCTATGGCAATCGTCTTAATGTGAATTACTACTTGTTTATATTCTATTTTTAAATATAAATACAAGCTTTGTATTGTTGAATGTTGATGTAATAGACATTATAGCTTGTAAAATGGACTTGTACAATGCTTGCATTTTTGAAGTGTATTACATCTTATGCATCCTAGTGCCCCTTTATATGAAGGAATTTTTAACTTCTGCAAGTAAGCAATTGTTCTTTATGAACATCTGCAACAGGAGCAGCAATTCTGCTTTTGGTTTCTCCTGAGCAGCCCCTTTTTGTATGACTGTCTTCAAATTCATACTGTGGGTAGAATGAAATTTTAAAATCATTGTCATTTTAATCACATCATTACTACTACTTATGCTCTACATGCTGATAACAATTCTGCCATCTGGCTCTATTGGAAACACTGCAACGCAGTTCATTGGGAAGTGGTCATTCAGCCCTGAGTTAAAAGCATTGTGTGAGACCCAACATCCCAATAGATGTGTTTTCTGTAGGGGATGGCTCCAGCTGCATCTACAGCAGCAATGTAGTTTGTGCAGTTTGGGAGCACATCCTCTCTCATCTTCACTTGCCCCAGACTGGTTTGGCTGCCAAAGCCATTTTGGGATGCTTGAGTTCACTTACTTTTGGAGAACTTGGAACTGGGCTCTCCAGCTCTGAATGGTGACCCAAGTCAATAGCAGTGGTTTCTTTCAGGCAGCTTGAAACCACCTATGTGTTGAGGATGTCTGAAGCATCAGACTAAACCTGGCCTTCAAATTTCCAGACTGTATATACCATGGGTATAGAAGTTTACATCAACTGTTTGATTCTGTGGATTCACTTCTATTGTATTGAATCACCTGCGGACACAGACATGGCTTCTGCTGCATTTGTTGACTGGAAAAACTGAAATTGTTCTTCATCTGATGCAACTGTAAACTAGGTTTAGATTAAACTTAGTTTGTTCGTAACCTTGAAGTGTCAATTTTTGTGTGACAGTTACAACTCTAAATTTTATTTTAAGGGGAAAATTTGCATCAGATTTTAACCAAAAAAAGTCAATTTTTCTCTCTCATCTAAAAGAAAGGAACTTGAATATGCACTTTATTCCTTCTGTGAAAAGGAATGCTTAGTACTTGGTAGGTTCTCTTATTAGCAATATTTTCCACTGCTGCTGTGATTGGCTTGCCTGTAAGAGGTATTGCTCAGCATAATGTTAGCCATGTGCTCATCAGAAGAAAGAGTGGTAATCGTTGCCTTTAAGGATGCATTCTGTAAACACATTCAGACTTCACTGTGCATCTTTTCTTTGCAAATCAATAAAGTTGTGCAGGGGCAAATGTGTCAGGTTTCTTCCTCTTAAGTCAACAGGAGTATGTAGAGACTTTTGCCGGACTAGCTGTAGTTTGAAATAATGTCAAATCAGAAACAACTTCCAGCTTACAGGGTTGTAAATATACTACTAAAGTAGTAGGTGGTTGATTGGTTTGGAAGGACAACACCACATGCCCATAATGACTTGTAGTAAATACTCATTTCAGTTTTGTATTTAAAAGTGCTTATTAATTTTCAATTAAATTAAATTTTCAATTAAACTCAAGCGTATACTGAGTACAGTTGCTTTAGGCCTCAGGGAAAGAACTGAGAGTACTTCCTTTAATAAGCAGCTTCCCAGTGTGCAACTCAGTTTGAGTTATGCTTCAAGATTATTTCAGAAATTACTTAAGAATGTTAATATAAAAGGCTGAGCTGCAACTTTGCCACAGCATTGTGAATGCAAGACAAGCATTATTGTGAGTCAGGGTTCAGAAAAACATGCTCAAAATCTCTTTCCTAGCAAGTAAAAATGCCCCCAGCGGCCTTGCCAATTACAGTGCAACAGCCTGCTTCTGGTATATCTGGAACCTAGAATACTTTCCCTCAAACATAGAGAAGAGTGTTTTAGTCCTCTGAGGTAAAGAAGGGACTTGGCCTCCCTGGAGCAAATCTTCTAACTGGCTTAAAGAAAATAACGCTATCTCCTCTTTTGCAGATGAAGTGTTTATGAACCTAACTGAAAAATCACAGCTGCAAGCTCTTGAGTGCAGGAAAACTACTTAAGATTCTTTCTCTAGGGATGTGGAGGTAGTGGATGTATTTTCCTTGTGCTGCTCGAGCAGCCTCCCTGCCAAGTGTGCAGGCTTTCTTGGGTACTGGGTGCTAGTATGTATTGTCATGGACTGGGCATCTGTTGCAGAGGCAAAAGTTAGGTGCCTAAAGGCAGAAATGTTCAAATTTTTGCTGGGCTGTGAAGGTGCCAGAAGGGCCAATTGTGCAGCAAGGGGCCCAAAGATTAGTCCTGGGATTTGAGACACTGTCATGCTGCCTTTTCCCAGGTAAGGCAGCACATCCAGTTGTTAACACAAGACATGTCAGTAAAAAGAGGTACAAGATTGTGATCAGTTATGATTTTCTTTAAGGATGAAAGGTGCCATGTGTTTCCACTCAACCAAGCCTGCCATTCAGCCTGGTAACAGGGAGCCTGATGCTGCAGCTCTGAGGAATAAAAGTTGCACTCCAGGAACGCAGGTTTGATGGAGGCTGGCACAGCACTCACAAAGTCTTTAGTACACAGAGCCTGTGAGCTTTGGCATCTGCTGCCCACCAGTTTGGGCACACATGCTGCTCCTGAACCTGAGCCTTGCAAATGGCAGCCGTGTGTTTCAGGTGTTGCTCAGGCTGTTCTCCCTGTCCCAGCAGAGTCTGTCTGAACTCAGGCAAAACTCCTGATGCTGCTGCCCCAAATGCCTCAGTGGCCCTTCTATTAATAACCTGCTATTTGTACAGTAACCTGGCACCTCTTTCTCCTGTCTCGTGGTCTAACCATGCAGTAATAACTTCCACATAATTTGGAAATTAGGGAAACAGACTTGAAAAAGGAGCAAGTTGATTAATAAATAAATCAATATTCAAAGTAAGAACAGATTTTTCTTTATATACATTCTCAACTTTGATGTGACACTTAAGGTTAATATCTGCACATGCAACTAGAGTAGAAATCTGAGCTTTCAGCAGTCATTAGCAGTTTTAAACTAAGTAGCAGGAAGAAAAATCTGTTTCATTCTTTTCTTTTACATGATGCCTGGATTGTCAAATCAGCTTTCAGATGCTGTAAAAGTTAGTAAGGTTTGCAAATCTTTCACTTCATTGTAATAGGTAGCAAAACCATGATTAGCCAAAAAGCAGTTTTGGTTAAGGATTCCAAATTTCAGTATTCAACTGTAAGATTTCTGAACAATAGTGGTGTTAGAAATCTTTAAATCCTTGAATGAAATGCAAAAGTTCATCTTGGTTTTTATTCCACAGCATGGCACAATCAGCTGCATCTTTACCATATGTGGCAGGACAGACTTGTGTGCTCTGAAATAAATTGTTAAAGATTATCCTTCCTCTCTGTAAGTCTTTGGCATTATTAGTATTAAGGTAGATAGTAGGAAAAGATAGATCTACCATGCTGGATCCTGATCTCTTTTTGTCTTAGCTGTGGGCATACAGAAAGGCTTCTTCCTATTCTCTTTGCAACATGTTTTAGGTATTTGAAGAGCTTCTCCAGACTATGTAGCTTTTAGATTAAAGACTGAATTCAGCAACTTTAATTTCTACATGAAATCCACTACTTCTAAGTAATTTCTTTACATCCTACTTTTTTGTTTCTGTTAATTTTGAGAAGCTTGTTTTTTCTCTGCATATTGTTCCTTTCAGTCCTGATGATATTGCAGGCTGTAATGATATTAACCTAGTACTTGGGTTTCCTTTTGCTAGAATCTGGCCTTGATTGCTATAATATTCTCTAGCATTGTCTTCATGAGCAATTAGAAAATTTCTGTTCCAGCATTAAAGCCTATGGTAAATTAAGGAGGTAAAAGAATCAACCAGCCACTGCTAGGTATGTGTGCCTGATGTTATCCTTCTCTACTGACAAAGCAGGCACTGGGAGTGTACAAAAATGAGACTGTCTGTATCCTAATGATGTGGACCAGCCAGCAAATGCATCCTGGCATGAGGAGACAAGGGCTGCTGTGAACTTGGGTGATGAGCTGTATCCTTGTTACTTGGGATATTTATGCCAGCAATAAGCAGTTTGACAGTACCTTGTAGGCACTGATGTCAGTTAAAAGTGAGGAGGTAAAATGCACCACCCCATCTTGTGCTAGGAAACAAAGCTTTTTTTCCTACCTTTTTACTATGGAAAAGAAAAGGAATCAATGATCAGTCAAAGTTGACAAGCTGTGAAATGCATCTCACCTGTCCTGCCGTGCAGTGGTGAAAACTGGATGGTAGCTAGTGTAACATCCATGCAAGCATTTTCCATATGTCTCAAAAGCTCTGTGTGTAGGGACAGGTAGCATCCTCCACCAAGCTAGCCACAACTACTTCTAGAGTACCTGAAATGTGTGTGTCATTCAAGACCCTGTTTAAAGTTCCTGTAGGCATGTACTGAGCCTGAAGAGTCCTTTAGCTGTCACAGGTACCAGGAGCCAGCTCAATTGCAGAAGGCTAGACCTGAGAGATGTTGCTAAGTAAATGCCATATGCTCATGAAGAATTGAAGTGCTGCTCCTGGTTCAAGGCTTTGCTACAAGGCAAAGGTTTCTGCATGACTGATTCTCTGGGTGCAAAATAATGTGTTAAAGTCAGTAATGTGTCCTGTCCCTGTTCATTACTAAACTTAGTGAGCCATCATCTTTCATTTAAGAACTTGTCTACTTCTCCTTAGCTCTTTTAGCTGCGAACTGTGTGCCTTGCAGTCCTACCAGCAGTTGGTATGGCCAGAGTTACTCTATCTCAGTGTAAATTAAGAAGGTGGAGAGTGCCAGTGCATAATTTCCCAAAGGATAAATCCAGCTACCTGATACTTCACACTCCTGATAAGATCCTTTCAGATGCAGTAAAGTTGCTACCCAAATTGTAACTGCTAACAGAGGGTAACCCAGTGTCTGGATTGCAACCGGGGCAATCCCACAATCAAGGATTATTGTTCTAGGAATCATCAAAATTATCACCAAAGTAACATAACCAGTGAAAGAGGTTCCAAGGTCATCTATAACAGTGGGTTTTCAGTGCAGATGATGGGTTTGCTACAATCATGGCAGTTCTTGGTGGTGGAGATCACCACAGAAGGTGAAAATATGGGAGCAGCAACCATTACTATGTTCTTTTCTCTGAATCTCTGATAGTTTTTTGATGAAATTGTAAGGAAAACCCCCTTCAATAGGGGTATTTGTGCCTGGTTAGGAAATACTGAGAGGAAAAGAACAGAAGCTTCACCCAGACTATAGGTGAAGCTCCCTGCTTATCCACCAGGGTTTTCATCTTGTTCTTCTTCCCTGCTGCCATGCAGAGCAACTGATTCAGTCAGCAGCAAGAAGACAAGCTGGCTTTTTTACCTGCAGTGATTGTGTCTAAAGAGAAAGTGAAGTGAGCCAATGCTGGAGTCAAATATAAATGAGGATTCATCAGATCTGTGTTTGTCAGGAAATGAGATGGGACAGAAAAATTTCTGTTGGACCAACAGAGAGGAAGGTATGCCATTAAAACCAATTAGCCAGAGCAGACTTGGGGTAGCCTGTAGGAGTGGGGTTCTTAAGGATTTAAATCTCAAGCACAGAAGATAAAAGTGCAATATAGAAAAGATAAAGGCTTTTGGAACATATATCTCAGGATGGAAAAGGCCTAACAGCTAATTTTTGGGGGGTTGAGAGGGCAAGAAAAATATACAAATATCTTTAGTAAAAGCAATGGGAGAAGCAGAAGGAAGTACTCTCTTCCTTTCTGAAAATGGTTGAGTAGTGGAAGCAGGAATGAAAATGAGTTCTGTTTCTAAGGGATGATGTGTAGAAAGGGCAGGATATGTTGAGAAGGGAAGGAATTGAAAGCCACTGTGATAACTACTACCTGTATGTGTTTCTCTTACCAACGCCCAGAGCACCCCTAATG